GGTCGAGCACTTGCAGTTCTTTCGGCGAACCAAGCCTTTCCAGCATCGCGTTGTTGATCGCACATCCCCGCAGCAAAAGCTTTTGCAGCTGTGGTAGCGTGCCGATCCGCTTCATCAGGTTGTCGTCGATCGGCTTGCCAGAGAAGTCAACGAGCACGACCGCACCGTTGCCATCTTTCTCGACCCGAGCCCCAGCGTTGACCAGCATGGCTTCGGTGGCCATTTGATCTTGCGTGGGGGCCTGACCGGCTGCGTTATCGACCGCGGGTGAATCGCTGGAACTGCATCCGATAGAAAGACTGCCCAACAGTGCCAGACAAAACAAAACGGAGAGCAGGTTACGCATCAGTGGAGGTCCTCAGGCAGCAAATCGACGGGGAATCCACCTATTCTATCGACTACCAACGTCCTGCGTCACCGGGAATTTAAACAGAAACGCCTGCGACGTAGCCGCTGGACCATGCCCATTGAAAGTTGAAGCCACCAATGCGACCGTCGACATCGCAGATCTCGCCGCAAAAGTGCAGCCCCGGGACCAAGCGCGATTGCATCGTCTTCAAGTCGATCTGCGAAAGAGGCACACCGCCGGCCGTGACTTCGGCCACTTTGAATCCCAGCGTTCCTTGGACATCCAGTGGAAAGCTACAGACAGCCGTGACCAGGTTCTTTCGCTGGTGCTTCGTCAAGTCGACGCCTGTTTGATCCAAGGGCACTTCTGCGATTTCCAACAGCAACTCCGCCAGGCGATCCGGCAGACGTTCGCGAAGATAGGCTCGCACAGAACGCTTGCCGAGGTCCAGCAGATCGGCTTGAACTGTTTCTTCGTCGGTCTCCGGCAACCAGTTGGCCGTCAGACGAACGGCCCTATCTGCCGAGGCGGCAATCCAGTGGCGGCTCATGTCCAGCACCGCAGGGCCGGAAAGCCCTTTGTGGGTCAGCAGCAAATCGCCTGAAATCGTTTCGATCCGCTTGCCGCTCGTTTCACTCAGCTGCAGTCGCGCCGGCAGGGCAATTCCCGAAAGACGCGTCAGTGGTGCGCCGTCGGTCAGTTGCAGAGGAACGAGTGCGGGATAAATAGTTGAGGTGATCTCGTGCCCTAATCGTTTGGCCAGTTCCAGTCCATGTCCATCGCTTCCCGTCTTGGGAACACTCTTCCCCCCCGTTGCCAGAACAAGTCGTGGGCTGACCAAGTGTCCCCAGGGACCGACCACCTCGAACGTGGTTTCGCCAGAATCATTGGTTACCGCTTTGATGTTCTCGACACGATGCCCCAGGCAGATCTCAATTCCCAGTCGCTCGACCTCACCCAGCAAGGCTTCCAGAACGGTTTTGGCTTTATCAGTCGTAGGAAACAGTTTTCCGGTCGGTTCTCGCTTCAGCTTGACGCCTAGTTCGGCGAAGAATTCGATCGTTTGTGGCTGTGTTAATCGACCGAGCACCTTTTTGATCGCGTTCGGAGAACTGCCCCAGAAGTCTTTGGGGGTGACTTTCTCGTTGGTCACATTGCAGCGGCCGCCCCCGGCGATCAAGATCTTCGCCCCCAACCGTTTAGCACCATCCAAAATGACGATACGTCGCTTCGGTTCGGTCCGGCCTGCCCAGATGGCGGCCAGCAATCCGGCCGCACCACCACCCACAATGGCCACATCGGCATGTTCGGACGCATTCATTTCGTTCAAGCAATTTCTCCCCTGTTGCCCTGTAATGTGGAGCCCCAGCGTCATGCTGGCAAGGGGACCGCAGAGTTGACTGGCCCCCCAATTGCCTGCTTTCCTATAATCAAGGGCATCGTTGCCAGAGAAAGCCCTTTGCGGTTTCCACAAGGGCTGCGTACTTCTTTCGGACATGCCCACGCGGATGTGAGCATGGCACCCAATGTTTGAAATTGGTTTTAATGGATTCATGATCGAGCGTCTTTTCGTATTGCTGATGGTTCTCGCCGTGCCGGTCGTTTCGGTTGCGGAAACGCCCACCGGCGATCCCCAGGCTGGCTATCAGCATCTGATCGATACGCCTTACTTGCCTCCTTATTTCGATCAGGAAACGTTCGACAACGTTTGGAAGATCTGGCCGAAGGAGTTACGTGAGCAAGCGGAACAAGCCACCCCGGACGAGCGCCGACAGATGGCGTTCGAGCGGTATGGCCTTACAGGGCGGCCTGAAGATCCGACCAAACCGCTGCAGTACGTTGTCGATAAGAAAGGAAACTGGACGCTCAACTGCTTCTCGTGCCATGGGGGCCAAGTCGATGGAAAACCGATTCCTGGCCTGCCCAACAATCGGTTCGACTTCGCCGGCATCACGGACGAAATTCGCCTGGCGAAAGCACTGATGGGCAAAAAGCTGGTGCCGACCGACTACAGTTCGCTGGTCTTTCCGATGGGCAACAACAAGGGGACCACCAACGCCGTGAACTTTGGCGTGGCGCTGCTTTCTCTGCGGGATGCCGACTTGAACATGGTCCCCGGGGCCAGCTTTCCGAAGATGCTGCATCACGACATGGAACCGCCGCCATGGTGGCATTTCTCGAAGAAAGAGAACATCTACCTCGATGGTTTCGCCCCGAAAGGGCATCGTGGACTGCTGCAGTTCACGTTGGTGAAAGAGAACAAAGCCAAAGCATTCCGCGACCGTGAAGAAGATTTCCGCGACGTGTATGCCTATTTAAGTTCGCTTGAGCCACCGAAGTACCCAGGAAAGATCGATACGGACAAAGCGGACCAGGGGCGGATTGTATTTAACAATCATTGCAGCGAATGCCATGGGACTTATGGCGACAACGCGGAGTATCCTGAGCAGATGGTTTCGATCGACGTGATTAAGACCGNNCCAGAGCATCGCGAAGGATATGGCAAGAGCTGGTTCAATACCTATGGTGAACAGAAAGGCCTGATCGCCGATCCCGCAGGCTATGTCGCCCCGCCGCTGGATGGCATCTGGGCATCGGCTCCGTATCTGCATAATGGATCGGTGCCGACGCTCTGGCACTTGCTGCATCCCGAGCAGCGGCCGAAGGTTTGGCGCTGGAAGAACTTGGATTACGACCACCAGCAGATGGGCATTTCGGTCGATGTGTTGGAGGAAGTTCCCAGGGGGCTTTCTTCGATCGATCGACGCGAGGTGTTCGATACTTCTCGCTTCGGCAAGAACGCCGCAGGACACGACTTCCCCAGCGTGCTGAGCGAAGCGGAAAAAGGATCGCT